AAAACAGAATCAACCCACTGCTTGGATCCTTGGTACACCCAGACCAAGTGGGGTTTATCCCCAATAGGCAGGCAGCAGACAACACTAGATGAGCTATAGACCTCATCTGGTTTGCACGCCATAGACACATTGCTACAGCGGTCATATCCCTGGACACCAAGAAGGCATTCGACCGGCCAGTGGCGTACTAAGGGGGGGCGGTCCGCCCCTTGTGCCACCAGGGTGGGGGGTGCCATGACCAGCCCCGCCGGCCCCCCCATGCTGCAGCCGCCCAAGCGCTCTGTAGAGAGCCTCAGGCGGCTGCAGCTTTGCCCGGGCGGTGCGTCCATGAGGGCGCACCATGAGGAGAGGGGCTGACAGGAGGGAAGCGCTCAGCACTCCCCCCGTCACTCCCTCTGTTGTAGCATGGCCGAGCCCTGCAGCATGATGGTCCGACGGGTACAGAGAGCAGCTGTCTCCTGTACCCGGCCGGACTAACAGGAAGTGCACACTGAGTGAGCACTTCCTGTTAGTCCGGCCGGGTACAGGAAACAAAAGCAACCTGTACCCGTGGATTATACAGGGCTCGGCCACGCTACAGGGAGGTAGGGGGGAGGGGAGAAAGAGAAATTAGGAGGGGGTGAGAAAGAGAAATTAGGAGGGGCGGTGAGAAAAAAAAATTAGGAGGGGGCGGAGAAAGAGAAATTAGGAGGGGGTCGAGAAAGAGAAATTAGAGGGGGGGTGAGAAAAGAAATTAGGAGGGGGGGGGTGAGAAAGAGAAATTAGGGAGGGGGGAGAAAGAGAAATTAGGAGGGGGGGGAGAAAGAGAAATTAGGAGGGGGGGGAGAAAGAGAAATTAGGAGGGGGGGAGGAAAGAGAAATTAGGAGGGGGTGAGAAAGAGAAATTAGGAGGGGGGGTGAGAAAGAGAAATTAGGGAGGGGTGAGAAAGAGAAATTAGGAGGGGGGTGAGAAAGAAATTAGGAGGGGCGGAGAAAGAGAAACTAGGAGGGGGGGGCGAGAAAGAGAAATTAGGAGGGGGGTGAGAAAAATAAATTAGGAGGGGGGGAGAAAGAGAAATTAGGAGGGGGGGAGAAAGAGAAATTAGGAGGGGGGAGAAAGAAATTAGGAGGGGGGGGGAGAAAGAGAAATTCAGGGAGGGGGGGGAGAAAGAGAAATTAGGAGGGGGGGTGAGAAAGAGAAATTAGGGAGGGGGGTGGAGAAAGAGAACAGGGAGGGGGGTGAGAAAGAGAAATTAGGAGGGGGTGAGAAAGAGAAATTAGGAGGGGGGGGGGGTGGAGAAAAAGAACAGAGGGGGGGTGAGAAAGAGAAATTAGGAGGGGGGGGGAGAAAGAGAATTAGGGAGGGGGTGGAGAAAGAGAAATTAGGGGGGGTGAGAAAGAGAAATTAGGAGGGGGGTGAGAAAGAGAAATTGGGGGGGAGAGAAATTAGGGGGGAGAAAGAGAAATTAGGAGGGGGGGAGAAAGAGAAATTAGGAGGGGGGGAGAAAGAGAAATTGGGAGGAGGAGAAGGAAATTGGAGCGGGAGGAAAGATTGACATTCATCACATACACACAATGCACCCCTTGCACACAGAAAAACACACAATGCATTACACACACGACACACATACACAAGCAATGCAACCGTTACACACAATGCATCCCTTACACACACAGAAACACACAATGCATTCATTACACACACTCAATGCACCCCTTACACACATTCAATGCATCCCATACATACACAGAAACACACCTTGCAGCCCTTACACATACAAACACAATTTCACACAATGCATTCCTTACACACATATCAGGACATCCCCTACACACTCCACCCCCTGTGAACAAACTCATTGGTGGAACATGAAGGTGGACCCTGGGACCCAGACCTTGAGCTGTGTAAAGGACCCCCAAAAAATGGAGCTGCTTCCCGTTCTCCCAGAACATTGATTTTTGTGACCACAGTTACAAACCGCCTCCAGAGAGCCTGTTCTACACCAGACCAGTGGAGCCAGACTGCAGCTAGAGCCCATCATCATCCTCATCTGGTTGTAAGTAGGCAATCTAGTATATTATTCGTGGCACTAAGCTCTAATTTACCTCACATTAAAGAAACATATAGTCCCCAGAACCACTTCAGCTTAATGTAGTGGTTCTGGTGTCTATAGCCTGTCCCTGCAGGCCTTTTAATGTAAACACGGCGGCACTGCAGCACTGGCGTTAGTTAACATGGCAAATCATATGGGTGGGGCATTGTGATGTCACATGGGGGGCGGCAAACTTTACTTTTGCCTAGGGCGGCAAAAATCCTTGCACCGGCCCTGGCTGGAGGGGGCTGTGTGAGCTGTGGCCGCAAAGTGTCCCATGGTAGTTAGGGTACCGTGCGGCCAGTACAGCTCACACAAGCAAACAGCTGATAAACTGGCCGCACGGAGGAAATGTGTATGTGTGACTGTCTGCATGTGACTGTGTGTGACTGTCTGCTTGTAACTGAGTGTGTGACTGTCTGTCTGTAACTGAGTGTGTGACTGTCTGCCTGTAAATGTGTGTGTGGGGCTGCAGGGATTTTGTAGAAGGGGGCGGGGGTTTTGTATTGGGACAGGAGTCTTTATAAGGGGGGATAAGCAGGGGATTTGTGGAAGGGGGTTGCGGGGGTTTTGTAGATGGGGCAGTACAGGATTTGTAGAAGGGGCAGGACAGAGGTTTTGTAGGAGGGGCGGGGCAGGACAAGGGTTTTGTAGGAGGGGCTGACAGCGGTTTTGCAAAGTTTACAAATTGTAAAAAAAAAGAAAGAAAACCTTTAACATTTTTTTACAGGTTTTTTGGGTGGGGTTGGAGGGGGTGCCAAGCACAGGATCCACCCCGGGTGCCAAATGCTCTAGGTACGCCCCTGGAATTAGGAAGGAAGACTCAGTGCTCCCTCCGGCCATCAGCAGCCTTGATGCGGCCACACCAGCCCCCAGCATCTGAATTCCCTTGGACTGACAGAAGTTGTGCGAGTCCGAAGGAAAAATTATTGAAATAAAACATTAGGGCTTCCTACCAGCCCCAGGTGCCACGGACCACCGAGAAAATTCCTGATATCCCGGTGGGCCAGTCCGGCCCTGGTTCAGTGGTGTATGTTAGACTTGCTTTTCAGGCAAATTTTAGCCAATTAGCTGTTCCATACAGAAAGATGATTGTTGGGAAAAAAGGATAATTAATGGCTAGGGAACAGGCACTAAATGTTGATTTTATTCACAGATCAAGTGAGAAGTGACCAGTTGGTTAAATTTTCTCATTTGATCTGTGAACTAGATGGCAGGAAAACACACTTATAATAATGTATATATTTTGTATATATTTTTGTAACTTAAGGTTTTTTTTAAGCAGATGTAATAATACACAATTAAACATTGCAACTAAAGAGTCTTTATTGGTTGCATATTGATAATACTTTTTGCAGATAATATCATTACCTCGTTTCTACACAAAGAAATGGGTGTTAGTAAAAGCTTTGCTAGAAGGTATATGAGGGTACAAAATACACTGTGGAAGTCAACAGTTGGTGCATAATCGTTCAGCATGTCTTGCGGAATATAGCTATACCCCACTTGAATATAAAGGATTATATGCTTCTAAGATAATACAAACAAAAATAAAATATCACTGGATTGTGAAAACAAAGGAACTTCACATCATACACTAAAATTCTTGTGCATGCTAAAAACAAACCTTATCATCCCCCCAAGCAGGAAGAGAGTTTAGCCTATGCCCCCCAAGTGAGAACCACTGCCACTATAAGGCACAAGTCATGAATCCCATAGGGGAGCACCCCACCAGCCCCAAGCACTAGTACGATCCAGCACAATAGTCTTCCCACAGAATGAGCCCATTAGAGCAGATCAAGGATTTCTATGCGTGGGGGTTCAATCCTGGTTGGATCTTGGACTAGGTAAGTGGTGGCAAGCTTGAGAATCTTACTCTCTGTAATGAAGCATCGACTTCAGCCTCCTGTCTCAACTCTTACGGCATCCATTTGTGGACATTTGGCGTAACCTCTGCCCCATTAGGGCTTTGAGGGCGGGTGAAGTCTTGAAATTTCTGTCCGGAAGCATGGATGTAGAACCAATTGCTTGTTGGCGTTGTTTGGTCTAAAATTGCTAGCATAATCAAACGCTTAGGTAAGCGGGTACACATGGAAGTTTATTTTCGAGGAGGTATGTAGTCAAGCAGACCCTGATGGATGGCCATCTTAAATAGTAGGCTTCAATTGACTGCAGAAGACTGCAGTGTAGTCCCGATCAGCACACCAGTGGGGACCAGGATATACCCCACTGGTCCAAAGGGCAGGCGGGGATAGTCTGGAAAAGGCTATGGGAAGAGGATCTGCTGTCTCCCCCACCTCAAATGTGTCTGTAGACCACCGAGGAGACCAATGCTGGAAATACTCTATGCACAGCAAAATGCACAGCTTGGTATTCCCAGGTGATTAGGATAAAGTATGTGTGGAAAATAATTTCGTTTCGTAGGGTGCAATGTTTATTCTCGGGCTTTGAGCCATGCGACTATCTCGGTCTGCTGTCAGGCCCCTTCTTATGTGTAATTTTGCAGTACACTGATTGGACCATTTGTCACTCTTTTGGTTTGTCTGAATGTTTTCCTGCATATTTTTCCATAACGTTATTCAACTGTACCCAAACCATCACAAGAAAATGCCTTGAACATCCCAAAATAAAATTTACCGTTCGGGAAAAATCCCGCTGTGCACAAGTTTAGTGTACATTATTTCTTGTCCTGAAGAAAGTACTGAGTGAATATCCCCAAAGAAACACCATAAAATGTCAAATGCATTATCATTCTGAATAAGTACTCAGTACCAAAAATATTATTTTATTCACTAACTATGCTTTGAGTTAGTATTACATTCTCAGTATATATTAAGTGTCTTCATGGTCACGTTTTCTGAACAGAGCTACACTGATTTCAAAGCTGTATAAATTCTACTTAAAAGTAAATATTGGCCTAATGTTCTGTAATTAAAAAGTACAGCACGTGATTTCCTTTCCATGTGATGACTTGTAACTATAATCTTCCAGGTACACTTTCATCTTCTGAAAGTAAATACAACGGATTTAGCTAATAAACTGCCAACAAAGGATTCCCTATTTGCTCATTAAAGACAAAAAGTAAAAAGCTGTGCATCCTATTTAATAAAGAGTTTATTAAAGTGTATGGGAAAATTACACATCTAGACTGATTTCTGCTTTAGGGTGTAGAAAAATGATAGTTCTTCAAAGTGCACCTGTCTTACAAAATGATATGGTGGAACTTTATAGAGAATATTTTCCCATCATTTCCCTGTGACCGAGCTTTATATGCTGGATGCTGAATTTAAATGTTACAAGCTCAATTCTACAATTCCTAGCGGAAAACTGATTGATTTTTAAAAGGTCAATTTGGGAAAGATGACTTTAAAAAGTCACGGATAAATATGGGAACACAATCAAGACGCTTTAGTCTGATGATTACAGCACCATAAAAAAATTCAACAAATGTGTTAAAGGATTTGCAGGGTATAACAGCATATTCTGTCATGGGAGGGGTAATCCACAGCACCTTGATAGCACTACCCCTAAGGTCTCCCATATCCTTAGGGTTACCTAATCGTAATTCACACTATTCCCTTATATATTTTTTATGTTTGTTTTTTGCTGTGGTCATAATGGTTTAAGGTACAGATAGAATCGTATGAGACATTGTCATATGAGAAATTGTCAAAATTGAAATACAAACGTACCAAAAGGTGTCCTTTTTATACACGTTTAGTGGATGACAGGTCCACATTTTACCTTTACAGGTCTAGACGGGAACAGCATTAAACTAGAAAAGCTACAATTGTGTGAAGTGTTCTTGCCTCCACCAGTAGTCTACAACTGGAGTGGGCGGAGTAATTGCGTGGAGTGGCTTGAGTAACTGTTGTGTGGTTGGAGTGGCTGGAGGAACTGTGGAAAGGTTGGACTGGGCAGAGTAACTTTATGAAACATTGATTAGCTATATTGTTGTAACATTGTATGTTACTGTTTTTCTGTTACAGGTATAACGAATTGACTAACATGGAAATATATTTATTAAATGTGATAGTACTCACTTTTGTGTTATCAAAACTGTAGGAATGACAGCAGTTTAGAGAATGTGTTTCATCTAGCAGCCTCTGTGTTCCGGAACACTCTGCTGGGTGCTCACACACCTGGGTTCCTATGGCAACTCACTCAACAGCAAGGGCAGAGAAGAGCGGTTAAAAACAAACTACTCCAAATTGCTCACTTCACTGGCGGTTGCCATCTTCAAACTATAAATCATACAGTGAAGAGCTTCATATTGTGAGAATTACAAGACCCAGACCTATATTTTGATGCATACTATGTCTCTGAAATATTAAAAATGAAGGCACAGTCGCAGATATTGCCCTTCAAATTTGAGGTGGCTAGAGTGGAGTTTCAATGAATGTCAATGGACGGCGTGAGTTGCAAACAAATGGTCATATTGTGAAAACTATCAGGACTATGGCTTAGCCGTGGAAATTTTTACTGGCAGCAGGGATAGCTGAACGTTTTGAAACAAGATTTGTGTAGGTGGGCTTGGAAATGTGAGAGAGTGGTGGCAGTTTAGAAATCATGTCCTGATTTTTCAGCTTACACTCTAGCTTTTGTCAGCTCCCACTCTAGTTTTGAACATTCCGCCATTCATTCCTATGGGACCAATTTCGCCACAAAAACTATGATATTTCTTGAACCATTCGGCGAAACTTTCCACAAAGTAATAGCACACCGATCAGGAACAATCCGCACGTTTTGGTATATTACTGTCTATGTAGTGTAAAAACTGTGGGAGGAGTTAGGGTGGTAAATTTGGTTATAATAATAAGAATAATATGTATGTGAGATAATAGTAAGTGGTCTTGCCATGCAAGAACACTTAAATATGCTGCACACATATCTAATTATGTATTCAATAGAAAACAAGCAGCTCAGAAACCATCATGAAATTAAAAATCCAGACATAAGAACAGATTAAATATATAATTGCTCAATGTCCCCTGAGCAGCAAGTGCACTTATTTCCATTTGAAGATACATTGTGGTTGCCCCCATTAAAGATCTTACTTTTTCAGACATTTACCTGTTTAATTCAACCATCCAATAAAAGCAGATTTAACAGTAACTTCTATCACAAAAAGTTCATATTTTCAAGTTTATAGACACTAAAGGTTGTCTGTATTAGATCTGGAGATTTGCTTGCTTACAACTGCAATTCAGCTGAATTTGGGCTGATGTGGTAATTGTACAAATTGCCAAACTCCGGATCGAAACATGGCCGAACCAAATAAATCGCACAATGAACGAGCATGTTCATTTGGGAAATCCACCCAAAACGCCAATCAAATGAAAAAAAAAAAAGATAATTGATGGATAGGGGACAGTCACTATGAGGTTGATTTAATTAATAGATTTAATGAGAAGTG